TCGTATTCGTATCCATCATCATAAACTAGCCGTCAGAAGATGTGAAATCCACTCCCTCATATCGCCACACTGCATACAGACAACCACGGACATCAATTCGACTGGGAGCAGCAGCATTCAAATATTAGACAGAGGAAACATGAAGAATGCTAGAGAATTTTTAGAAGCCTGCCTGGTATTCCAATGAATCGTCAATCAATAGACACACTGACACAGACAAAATTTAACAATCGGCAAGAAGGAAATCTCACACACATAGGGTCAAACTTCAGGTCAAGGAAACAATCAACACCAATATCAATACAAGTAGCCTAGAGGGTGTGAAAACACACAGAGAAACAACCAATCACCTTGAAGGCAACCGGGAGATATGATTAATAAACTCGTGGAGAAATACGAGAGCTCACTTCAAATTGAAGTATGAGCTGAAGATGTTGCCTAGTAGGGCGATGAAAGCTTCGCAAATAAATTATCCAGCTCAGAGAACACAACTACATCAAAATCATCCACCTGAGCTGCAAACCTTCTCAATCAAATCCAAAGATAAATCCATCTAAGTTTTTATATAATTTAGGCGATGGCGAGCGTATAGGTAGAATGTGTATGCTAGTAGGGGTATAGGAGGAAATAAATGTTGTCAACAATAATAATAGTTATAATAAAATGCGAAACCAAAATTACAATACACAGCTACAGCACAACATGATATTCATAATACATTTAGCATTGAGAATAAAAAATAAAACAAAAATTGTATATGACACAATCTTATTGAAAATAGCTATCCAACAAAGATCATCAAGAAATACATGACCAAGAAAGCAGAAAAAGACTATTCACTATCCGTAAACACGAAGCGTTTAAACATATGACTACAATTCAAGGGCAATATACCCAGTGAAATAATTACGACGAAATTAAAAAAATCAGCTCAAAAACTTGTAATGCTGGTTAACTTCAAGTCTTATTTTCTACAAGACCGATGGTGATTTCTCAGTTAAGAGATGAAGTACCTAGACTATCTAGTCACTTCTAACCACATCTACTAATTGAAATGCGCTTGTGGTAGAGTGAGTTATATTGGCCGTTGCTCTAGGAACTTGATGTTTTGTGCTCGCTCGGGAGCATCTAACAGTGTGGCTTAGTGAAGGTGTAGTAAAAACCATCAAAAGTTTGATATTAGACCACCAGGTCCAAACCGATTGGCCACAGAGCCAGCATTGAAGATTCCATCTCTGTCATCTACCGGGTACCAAATAAATTTCCAGCAACATTCAGGTACCGCATACTCCAAACAGCAGAGACCATCGCGATTCACCTTAAACTTCAGCCAATACTACTGCCTTGGCCAGCCTTCAGCGGAGACTATGACTTCATGAATTTGTATTATTATCTTTCCTAATTTTTTGACATTCAACGTATTGTTATGTTAATTCTATCGAACTGCAATCCACTGATATTATTATTATTGATTCGATGTTATTTAAACAACATCAATGTTGTTCATAACACTAATTCATTCACTATTATGTATATATATGAATGCAGAACCTGATGACGGTTATCGAAAGGCATCTCCTTTATAAAATAACCATTCTTTTGAAAAATAAAAATAATTAGATAATATTCACAGTTACCCCGTGTCATCAGAAGAGATAACTACTTTAGGTTGGGGGAGAAAGCCGGGGGTGGAAGACAGATTGAACAAACTTTTCCTGAACCCACAGACTGTGTTAGAAAATCTTGTCCTATTGTACTGTTTCATCGTGTGATACATCCAATAAACAAATTAATGTTGAATCACATACTAACACAATGCCTAATTTTCATACATAAATGGCTAATAATTGTTATTATCTTACATATGCCCAAATCAAGTGCACTTTTAAAAGTTTGAAAACATTCGAGCATTGGGTCTATGGTAATCAGTATTATATATATATATATATATATATATATACTGAAAACTTATGACTTTATAACTCAACTTTCAGCCGGTGGGTTTCAGGTTCGAATCCTGAAGTTCAGCCTAGGCAACTGGGTTGCGTCACTAGCCCACAAACACTATCAGAATTATTATTCACTCCCTTAGTTCTAATTGGAACATGGCTTCCACAGATTACCTCCCTTCCACTCGTTTCACTGCTATCACTTGGATGAGCTGGCTGTGCAACTAATCACAATTTTTCTTTTTCTCTTCAGATAATTCCCATCATGTCATCCTCAAATGCCTGCTGACTCGTCATTTACCATTCTGATTCAACTCAAGGTAGTGGCGCAAAATGCCTCTTTGTGTCTAATCCGTCTCCATTTATTTTATGCATATCTTTTCTGGTTGGCTGACTGGCTGTCTTGCCAGGCATCTGATCTTCAATATCGATCGAAAGTAAATGTTGATGAAGGTCTGCACGAGTAGTCTATTGGAAATGCTTTGGACTAAACTATATAAAGTCACCACCTCTGCTTGGCCATTGGAGTGTGCCTTGAATACATCAGATCTTGTTCGTTATATTCAATAATGCATATCTTTTTACACTGATTTCAGAGTTGTGAACAAACTTGTTTCGCTCCTAAAATCTTGACTTGGACGTTCCCATCTATACCAAGTCCTCATACAATTGTGAGATATAACTTCGTGTAGCTGGACTAATTTTAAATCTGTATTTAAGGGCATTAAAAAAGATAAGTGCCCAGTCCAATGAACAACATCTTCAGATTGCAGCAAGGCACACTTGTATTTAAGATGAAACTACAGTTCACCTAATAGATAATCCACTTCACTAAAGCCAGAAAAGAAGGAAGGTTAAACTTAGGGCTAGTAAACCAACGCTGTAAAAAAACACCTCCACTGCTGCCTACAGTGACTTCAGAGGGAACAACTCTGAGGCCCCATGTTCAACACAGAATGCAAGAAGTAAATAGTAGTAATAATAATGACAATAATCCATGGAACTATTTACTTTGTGTGCCTTTATTCTCTAGTATCATAGAAATTATCAACTCTTAGGTTTAAACGGTCAATAAATTCAACGATTCAACAATAGATTCGAAACCTTGTCCACTCCACCTACAAAGGATTTATACAACTAGGTTTTATCATTATTTATCATCAGTTATTGCCAACAGCATGTAAATGCAAGTAGTGTGTCTTCATTATACTAAAGTTTTTTGTATTTCCTAATGAATGAATGAAAAATAAAAAGATATTTAAAACAATTAGTTCCCTTTATGAATTTAGATAAAGCAATAAGAAGACGTAATTTGTCTGAATCGTGTAATGTATTTGCGCAACACATTTCGAACAATCTGATCACACACGGACTTGTCATAGGAATATATATGAAATTAATAAAGAGGTAAGAGGTGAGAAAAATAGACTTAGGTCAAGTTTAAAGGACATATTCAAGGTCAAAGTAACAATGAAGACCACTAAACCAAATAACAGAGGTAATAGTACATCTGCTATGGTGTCAAAACAAAATTTACCAAGGAAGGTTTAATGTGATGACAAATTGTTTTTGAACGCATAAAGGTGGCTTAAACTTTCTAATTGCTAGGGCTTCCACAAACTTTAGGATACGCCCCAAACACGTTTTATAGATAGGTTTAAAAGATCTGTTAACGTCAATCTTATGTCCTGTTTCTATAATATGTTTTGCAATAGAGGAGCTAGGTCTCCTGTTCTCACCATTAATGGGTTCTGAAGATTCCATTTGTTTCTGGAGCCAATTAGAAAGTTTAAGCCACCTTTATGCGTTCAAAAACAATTTGTCATCACATTAAACCTTCCTTGGTAAATTTTGTTTTGACACCATAGCAGATGTACTATTACCTCTGTTATTTGGTTTAGTGGTCTTCATTGTTACTTTGACCTTGAATATGTCCTTTAAACTTGACCTAAGTCTATTTTTCTCACCTCTTACCTCTTTATTAATTTCATATATATTCCTATGACAAGTCCGTGTGTGATCAGATTGTTCGAAATGTGTTGCGCAAATACATTACACGATTCAGACAAATTACGTCTTCTTATTGCTTTATCTAAAAAGATATTGTTGTTTTCTCCTGACGTTTCGCTATTCAATGCTGCTGCTAATAGCTTTATCAAAGAAATGACCCCCAACAGCTGTCATTCCATACAGATCAGAAACATCAGACAATATTAGAAGACTAATCAATAAGCACAACACAAGTGGTTTCTCTAAAACATCAGACACAGTCACTACAAAGCAACATTGTCCATGTAAAAGACCAAATCCCTAATGATTCTCAATCTAATTTTGTCTAAAAATGATGCATATACATCCAACAAACATAGCCAGAAAGGAATCAAAATCAAAGGAAATGAACACCATGCAGCATCCGTTTGACCCCTGAGAATTCCAGTTCAACTAGAAAAGCTTATCAAATCATCAGCCATAGCTCGTCTACACGATGCTATTGAATCACGTCACAAAACTCATTTTGACAATATTGAAATAATCCATAAAAAGCATTTCAGAAATCACAAAGAACGTCTAATATCAGAAGCATTTCATGGTAAATGGAATCCACATTGTCTTAATTGAACGCGAATGATGGACTAAAAGAGAATTTGATCTGGTTACAACACCCCCCTCCCTAATGAATTGACCGAAATCAACATGAATTTCATTTATGTAAACACACGCTGCTTATATAATTTTACACACCTGTCAAATCCAGCAATCTACACCTGGTTTTATTATCTTTACCGATTGGCCAACTTGACAACGTAAGAATCACGCCATGTTGAGGAACAATGATTAAGTTGTTATATATATATAAGCTGAGATTTTGTAACCTCCGGCTTAATAATACTACTTTGATAAAGCTATTAGCAACAGCATTAAATAGCGAAACGTCAGCAAAAACAACAATATCGTTTTGTTTTTCATTCATTGGGAAATATAAAAACTTTTATAATAATACCTATTATTATTATCATTCACATTTTATATAAAATACTGAATTGAACTTACTGTTCCATTTGATTACATAATCTTTGTGCTTGAAATTATTTAATTCATGCAATTTTCTTAAAATATCCGCATATTCAAGAACATTAGTCAACTTTTGTAGTCTCCAAATAAATATAACCTCTGCATCATAACCTTGTTCTTTTTGAATCAGTTTGAATACAACCATGCATAAGTGATCTCTTTCTTTTGCTGTCACAAAAGCACAGTAACACAGTAACTCCTGTTTTTAAATGCCTCTCAGTGTGATTATAACTATTTCATATTGTCATACAGTCATCACACTGCCTCTTAGTTAACCAATAGAGGCTTTACACATTGCCTGTCTATTTTCAAATCATGCGAATCAAGTGAAGTGTCATATGATGTAAGTAAGATATCTGACTGATGATGATAAGAAAAATCAATTCAATGTGATCAAAGCATAAGAGAATGTTTTCTGTAAGTAAAGGCTAGCTGAACTGCGTATATATATATATATATGTATGCTTGTGTGTCTGTATAGTTGTCTGGAATTTTATTGATGCATTCATGCTCGCGCGCACGCACTCACGTACTCAAGTTTTCTGTCATCAATTTTGTTTCCTTTCTTCAATTTTACCACTGTCATTTTAAGTGAAAGTACCTACAAACGGTCTTCAAAAAGAATGGTTATCCACAAAATTTCATAAAAAGGTGTTTAAAGTCGAATCGAAACACCAACAAAGAACCACCATCAAAGACCACAAGAAAATTCATCCTACCATACATGAGAAATATCTCTGAAATAACAGCCAGAATACTGAAACCGTTTGATATAGATATAGCACACAAGCCAGTAAAATCGCTTAATTCGATATTATGCAATCCAAAAGATCCGAAAGAAAAAGGGGATAAAATTAATACCATTTACAAAATAAATTGTATGAACTGCAACAAGCATTACATCAGCCAAAGTGAGCGTCCCTTCGGATTAGAATCCAGGAACACAAATCAGCTGTGAAAAGACACGATATGTATTCTTTAGTATCAATGCATATAGACAATTATTGTCATCAATTTGATTGGGATAACGTCAAAATCTTAGACAGAGGAAACACCACAGAATAATGCCAGGAAATTCCTAGAAGCCTGGTACTCAAACGAAAATGCAATTAACAAACACAGTAATATAGACGAAATATACCAACTAATAAAAAGTAAATCAGATGAACAGAAAGTTTACAGACCAAGTCGATAGAAAATGATCAATAAATTTGTAAAGATGGTTACCGGGAGACGCAATTCTATCACTCATGAAGAAATTTAAATCATTTCACTTTGTGCTAAATATGGCGCTGGAGATGTTGTCCAGAAGGAGGGCGAAAGCTTCGCAACTAAACCAACCGGCTCAGAGAACACTATTAATTGCAAATCACCCACCTGAGCTACAAATCTTCTCTATTAAGTGAAATTCCATCTATTCTTGATAACTTCTAGGCACATATATTGGAGCTGGCGAGCTGCAAGCTTTAGGCGATCACAGAAAGCAGCATTCTTCTATGATGAAGACAGTGTTTATTACTGATTCAAGAGTTATTCTGAGGAATTTTGAAAGTGAAAAGATACACTGTCAAGTAAATAAATAGTCAAATACACCACTGGTAAGTTTCACTCCCTATTTTACTGTTTCTAGGAGATTTCACAGAGAAGACGGAGGTAATGAAGATAACCAATCACCAACAACAACTACAATCAGCACCAATCAACATCAACGAGAGAGATTTAACAGGGGTTGCCTCCTTCACTTATCCGGCTAGAAAGCATCGTTTCAACCGCAGGCAGTCGGAACGGATGAAGGCGTCAAAGCCAGCCAGCCAGCCAGAATCGGAAAGGCAAGATATGCTTTCATCAACATGAAACAGTTTGGAAATCTTCCGCACTTAGAATAAGGAACATGATTTGCATTTTCAACACCAATGTGAAGTCGGTTCTTGTTTACGGGTCAGAAACCTGGCTAGTGTGTCATGAAAAGGATTTCCAGCAGGTTAGAGAATTTTGTCAACAGCTGTCCACTTCGCCGGATCCCTACTGAAGATCAAATGGCCAGCCGGCCATAGAGGGTAAGCAAAAACAAACACTAGCTGGGAACAAGCTGGGGACTAAGGTCCGATCGCTCAACAAATATGTGGGGGAAAATGGAGGTGGATGGATGAGCATACATTGAGGAGGCCACTGAATGATATTGCACACCAGGCCATCGAGTGGAATCCATATGCGAAGAGACGAGTGGGTCGTCGGTGCGTGGGTGACATGGATGAGATCTTTTGGCGAGGAGGAGATGGGAGAGTTTGGTCAATCGTGGACCGAGATGAAGAGGATGGCAGAAAACAGAACCAAGTGGAGATGTGTTGTTGAAGCCCTATTTTGCACTCGGAACGCAAAGGGAATAATAATAAGAAGATTTCACTTCAACTGATCCTAGATACTATACATTGGGATAAACAAAAGACAGATGTCAAATTCGAATGACCATAATTATTCAGTGATTGTGCATTGGCTGTTCATTCATAGAAAGCTCACCGACCACTCATATTGTTCAATGCAGTCCTAAATTTTGATAAGTCGGTAGTGATTCCGGTAAAGGGGGAAGGTAGGGAGTCAGCTATTGAAAAAAGTCATTACCTCTGCTGAAATATATACTCTCAAACTTTGAACCCTATGTTCCACTCGGGACAGAAAGGTCTAGTAGAATTACAGAGTAACTTGGTATACAAACGCTGTTAGTATTATTGTTCCCTTGGATTCCGAGTGGAACATAGGGCTTCGACAACACATCTGCAGTTTGTTGTATTTGGTACTGTCCTCTTTAGCTAGGTCCACGATTGACCAAACTCAATCATCTCCTTCGTGTACGATATTCTCCATGTCATACTCTTAAAGACAAACCATTCGTCCTTTCCCTTTCGCGTTCCACTCGAGCGATGGTCTGGCGCTAGATTTCATAAGTTGCAATTAAAATTACTTATACAGTAAATCCTGATTTATCAACGTGTCTAGGGTTTCATTTTAAAATGTCCAAAGTTTAGTTTATTACCACTTTTGAAATAAGTTATATGATCATTTGAAAAGAATGTATTCAGCACAAAGCTCTATTCGTCAACAAAGAGCAACTAGATGTAGACGTACTGTAGAGATGTGCAGATCCATTTTCAACAGTCGGTAAATCGTGTTTTATAGGAGACGAAGTTTCAGTGTAGTGTTAAGGCCCATTAAATGTACATTTATTATGTGGTTTTTAGTAAACACTACATATTTTGTGGAATATGAAATAATTTATTTCGTGATATCTGGCTGTCGACCGAAGGACGTGTGTCCTGCTCAGCTCTGGAACATGGCCATTAAAAATGCAAGACATGAAAAGGCTAGCTGTCTTTGATCATAGGTGTCTGCGTTATATCTCCCGTGACAGGTGATTGTATAATAGGGTGAGCAATATTGAGGTTTGGCATCGGTTGAGTACTAGGTGAGCTAGGAGGTTGTGAAATTAAATTGATTGAGTCAATAAAGCCATGTGTTAAAAATGCCTAGCCGTCGTCTTCCTCGATGGACTATGTTAGCTGACATAGGATGGATCAGGTGGGAAAAGAGCCAGTGGTGGTCAAACCAACATATGGCTGCATCAGTCAATGAAGTCCATAAATGTTGGTTTAAGCCTGTCACATAAGGAGATGTAGACTTCCTGACTGGTCAGGGTCCTCAGGATGGTAAAAACCAATGGCTTGAAACAATTAGTGTTATGGGTCAAAATCGTTCGCAGTGGTGCAGATGCATTATCTCTTTGTGATTGATGATATCCAATAAAATTCTATTGTTCTCCCATGTTACTATTCTTCGTCCCTCACATCTCTGTTTATTATCACTATTTTGAAACTTTCTTTACTCTCTCCTCTTGCTTTTTTGCAACATGAAGAAAGTATGGAAACTGGAACTGTTGCACTTCTGTGCAAAGTTCTACGTTGAAAGCAAGTAGTTGGTCAGAAGCAATTTTTTCATTGTTTAATTCCTTCTGTCTCAGCACGTACCAGTAGAATTTCTAGCGAAGACAGTGTTGACAAAGAAATTAGACAACTGAAAGCATCTTTCGTAGTGAATTGATATCCAATACACTTTGTCGAAACTATTAGTAAGTTATGTAAAACAAATACAAGATGGAGTAAGTTACCTTAGAAAGTGATGCACATAAACTTAGAATTAAGGGTTAACATTGCAGGAGAGGAATTTAAAATCTAGTTGATTCGGTCACCAAGGAAATCATTGTTTGTTGCCACTTCTAGGCATCCACCAAGGCGTCTTAATTTCAGAGAAATATCGCTTCGACTGCTCAATTCTTTGTGCATTTATACGTATCCCTGCTGTTGTGGAACAGAGTTCGTCAAAAGCAATACATCCCGTGTTCAATGGTACATCTTAAATTCAGTAAGCAAAATAAAGTATAGAACCACTAGTTCATCCTTACTGCAACATGCAGCAGATAATCACAGAGATTGTGGTGCATCCTTCGACATGATCTACAAGATCTGGAGAAATTTTGCCGAAAGATACACTAGAGCATTTACTTTCTATAGAAGAAGTTTTGGTAATACATAACAAGAAATCAAAATATTATGTACAATAACAATTTATAGGATTTCTCTCTCTCTGTCTCTCGTTACCATGGAGTTAATTTTACCGTATGATGCAAAAAATCCCTCTTCATTCTTCTTCACTTCATGTTATTCCGGTTTGTTTTCCTTAATTTTTTCAGTTTACGTCATCGCCTTCTAACATTTAGTGCATTTGTTTTTGACAACAGTTCTTTCCTCTTATTACATTTGAACATAACAAACTCGTGTATTTGCATTTTTGAATGTCAAAGTAAGGATCGAAGAAGTAAAGCAGACATTTATTACTCTTATATCAATGCAAAGAAATTCATATTTTCAACATCAATGTATAATCAGTTGGAAAGTGCAAACTTTTATTAGCAGCTGCCACATTGGCCAGCTCGATCCTGGAAGATGTGATGACCGAAAAGAATAAGCAACAGGTAACCCTGGGAACAAATCAATCAAGAACCTGTTATCATCCAACAAATATGCGGAAGAAAATGGAGCCAGAACAGATACTCACTAAGAAGACACACCAGTCTTAGCTTCGAGCGAACGCAGACTGGGGAACGATGATTTGTTACAGGATTACATCATGAGCTGACATAGGTTAG